GCAGGGGTGACAAGGAACATGGTTTCAACATCCCATGATGCAGTTTTCTCCATCCCATATTATCATTTGCATCCCATGTTTCACGCATCTTTTCAAAAGCCCCACAAACCTGCACATACACCATCTCTGTGACAAGCATGGATCCTGCACTGCTTTTCAGTATTGTGCTGACCGTTATGAACACAATGTGCTTAGAAGCAGCACATTCTTCTGGACTGGCATTCAAGGAGGGTCAGAGAGAGCTCGGGGCTCAGGACTGACCCAGATGGACTTTGCTGTAACTTTCTGTTCTCTTGCTCACCACGGACTTTCTACACTGTGTTCCAGACATCTAATAAATCCTTCTGCTTTTTACAATACTGTCAGAGTCACTCCTGATTAAGGAATTTAGGGGTGCATTGCTCCCTTTGTCGCAGAGGTAGGAAGGGGTGCCAGCGCCTCACCACTCCCGAGTCATTACGTTCACTTCTCTGTGGGGGGTCAGTGACGGCCTCTTGGCCTTCCTCTCTACTATCACCCCTGTCTGGCACGGTAGCGCAGCCTCGCGGTCGGAGTCCATATAAACCCCCTTACGAGCGGGGTAGCGCGGCCTCGCAGCCAGAGTCCATATAAACCCCCTTACGAGTGGGATAACGCGGCCTCGCGGCCAGAGTCTATCTAAGATCCCTCACGGTGAGGGGGTAGGGGGACTCGGGCCCGCCCTCTCCACCGAGCCCCGACCCAGGGCCCTGGTAGCGGCAAGCTCTCCTTGCCCCACGCTCGGCAGGGATCTGGCCACAACACACCAAGTGTCACCACAGCTCTAACGCTGTTTGTCTCTAGAGTTCCCCTGGGTCACTTCCTACCATGAATACCAGTTCATCTGGGGTGGGGGGGTCATCCGGTCTGTTTCTCCCCGTGACGTCCCCCGTCGGGGTCTCAGGTAGTGCCTCGGCTTGGCTGACTCCTGGATCCTGGCACGCAGGCTCTCTCTCTTCAGGAGCTAGCAGCGTGCGTCCTTCTCTTCCGGTGGTCAGCCCAGACTGAACTGATCTGCAGGCTTTTATACCTGATCTCCAGTTGGAGCATGCCCAGCAGAGCTTCCGGGGCATGGCTTCCTCTGCAAGGAAGGAAGGGTTAACTCCTACGGTACCAGTGCGGGGCCGCTCTGCCCCATCACAGGGGGTAACATACTGAAGGAGTCCTCCTAGGGGCTGTTCCACAGCCGTGTGAGAGCACCGGACCTCTGGATTCTGTCACAATCGCATCATTATGCAGGTTTGGGATGACAAGCAGTTGCTGCAGAACTTTTGGATGCACAAGACCACATTAATGGAATGGTGCACAAAGCTCGCCCCAGCCCTCCAGTGCAGCAACATCAAAATGAGAGCTTCACTCATGCTGGAGAAGCAAGTGGCAATCACTGTGTGAAAGCTGGCCATGCCAGATTCCTAACAATCAGTCAGGAATTAATTTGGAGTTGGGAAATCTACCGGGGGGTTGCTGTGATGCAAGTGTGCAAGGCCATTAATTGTGTCCTCTTGGCAACATGCAGGACCTTTTGAATGGTTTTGCAGCAGTGGGGTTTCTAAATTCCAATGGGGGCAATAGCTGGCACACATCTCTCTATTTTGGCACCAGACCACCTTGCCAAGGAGTACATCAACAGAAAGGGCTACTTTCCTATGGTATTGCAAGCACTGGTGGATCACCAGGGATGTTTTACTGACATCAACATGGGCTGATCAGGGAAGGTGCATGACCTGCGCATCTTTAAAAACACAGAAAGATGTAAGCAGGGACTTCCTTTCTAGACCAGAGGATTACCATTGAGGATATGGAAATGCCAATAGTGATCCTTGGAGACCCAGCCTACCCATTACTCCCATCGCTCATGAAACCTTGCACCGGCCACCTTGCCAACAGCAAGGAGCGCTTCAACTACAGGCTCAGCAGGTGCAGGAGGACTCTTGAAGGTGCTTTTGGCTGTTTGAATCGTCGCTGTCTACTCACGGGATTGGACTTTCATGAAGAAAATATCCCCAGGATTATAGCTGCCTGCTGCATGCTTCATAATATTTGTGAAGCAAAAGGGGAAAGCTTCTGCCAAGGTGGAATACGGAGGTGGAACATCTGGCTGCTGATTTTGAGCAGCCAGATACCAGAGCTATAAGAAGAGTTCAACAGAGAGCTTTACAGCTCAGAGAGGCTTTGAAAGACCATTTCAAAAGTGAGGCACAGTAATGAGTGTTCTTGTAGTGTTCTCTGCTTGGCATTGTTTTTTAGCATTCCGGTCTGAACCTTATGAGTGCTGTGTGTGTGGTAATAACACATTGCAAGTGCACCTATTGCTATTATCTTTGAAGGATGTCAGCCCCAGCTACCACATGTTGTGAACTATTCAAGATGAATTAAGTTTCCATAAATAGACTTTTATTCCAAACTCATGCAAACAAAAATAACGGTAACTGAATGAAACTATATAAATACAGGGAAAAGAACCTTTGACAGGGAAAGAACAGTCATTCTCATTTCAAACACAAATACACCAACCGTGTCTCTCATAGGTCAGTGTACGTGCAGCTCTGATTGTGTGTACTCTCCCTCGGGATGGAGTGGGTAGGGGTACTGCAGTGGCCCCGAAATATATGTGAAATGTAGGGGCAGGGAGCATAGGGAGGTCCCAGAATGCAGTTACCAATAGACTGCAGTGGGAGGCAAGCAAGGATTACTTGGACCTGAAGGTCTATAAGAATCTCCAGCATGTCCATCTGGCGCTTGAGAAGCACTAACATGACCTGCTGCGTGTGTCTGTCCTTTTCCTCTGTGTTTCTCCTCTCTGCACTATCCCTTTCCATTCTGTCCACAAGGGTGCTCCTCCAAGCCCTCTGCTCGGTATGTGCAACACCAGAGGCTTGCAGGATCTCGTGGAACATGTCGTCCCTCATCCCCTTTCTTCTCATCATCTGAGCCACTCCAGTGGTGTGGATGGAGAGACCCTCAAGGCCACATTTCCAGCTGCAAAAAGCACAATGCATAGAGGTACTATTGTGAGTGTTTTCACTCCCCTTGATCCACACAAGTTACAAGCACTACATGCTCCCTTGGGATTCATAGAGCACGGCAGCAGTCCCAGCCATGATTAAGGCTGCGAGTCTGTCATAAAGGTCACGGATTCCGTGACTTTCTGTGACCTCCATGACTTCTGCAGCGGCTGGTGCTGGCTCAGGGATTGCCCAAGCTGGGCAGCCCCTGGGCCAACAGCAGCAGTTTGGGTGTGTGGGAGGGGGCTCAGGGCTAGGGGAAGGGGGAGTATGGGGGAGGGGCACTTACCTTGGGGTGGGAGGCTCCCTGGCTCCCACTGACATGGCCCCCTTGCAGCTCCTAGGCGGCGGAGGGGCAAGGTGATCCACACCACATGCTGCCCGCAGGCCCCACCCCCACAGCCCCCATTGGCTGCGGTTCCCGACCAATGGGGGCTGCGGCAGCTGGCGCTTGTGGCGGGAGCAGAGGGGCCCCTGCCTCCGCCACCTAGGAGCTGCAAGGACACGAAGCAGGGTAGGAAGCCCCTGCCAGCCCTGCCAACCCACCCACCCCCAAGCACGGGTCCCAGGCCACTTCCAGCAGCACCCCCGGACCGCCCCTCCCATAGGGCCCATGGCCACCCACCCAAGTTTTAGTCAGGGAGGGTATTTTTAGTAAAAGTCATGGACAGGTCACAGGCCGTGAATTTTTGTTTACGGCCCGTGACCTGTCCATGACTTTTACTAAAAATACCCATGACTAAAACATAGCCTTAGCCATGATGATTATGGCCCGGGGGAATAAGTGGGCGATTTTGGACAATAATAGGGGTGAGCACATGGGCATCAGTATATGTCGATAAGGCAACTGAATGGAATACTGGCACTGTTTTCCACAGGCGGTGGTAATTTTAGCTGATATCTCACTCCCAAGGGTAACAGAGGCTGAAAGAGAACAGCTCCTGAACGAGTCTGGCTGGAGACTGGACCCGTATGCTGCTAGCCTGTGTGCTGCATTGGTGCCTGCTGATGTAATTGCTCACTGGTGCGAGAAAGTGTCCTACTGCAGTGGAAGAAATAAAGCAGTCCTCCCCAGAAACCTTCAGCAGAGGACTGCAGACTTCCTCCAGGAAAGTTTTCTTGAGATCTCTATGGAGGATTCCCGGGACATCCCGATGCACAAAAACAAACTATTCCACAGGGCCCCCTCTGCCTAGCTGTACAGGGGAATGAGAGGCAGACAGTGAAATAACCAGTAGAGGTAGAGTTGCTATCTCTTCTTGCCTGATTAAAAAAGAGTAAATGATCAGGTGTCCCTGCAAAATCAAAACAAACAGCATACTTACTAGAGGTTCCATCCCCTGCATCAGGCTCGCCGGTGCTGGATAGTAGGGACTCTCCGGCGGTCAGAAAGAGGTCCTGGCTCACTGCACCACTGCATTCCCCCAGTCGCCTGTCCTCCAAAACTCCTCCTCCTCGTGCATCACCTCCTCCTCAGTGTGCACTGCAGGGGCCGCTGATTCCAGCTCCCCTGAAATATCCACAGGGCTCGTGGTGGTGGTCTCCCCCAAGGAAGGCTTGCAGCTCCGTGTAGAAGCAGCCTGTCTGCGGTTCCACACCAGAGTGACAGTTTGCCTCCCTTACCTTCTGGTACACCTGCAGCAACTCCTTGATTTTTACATGGCACTGCTGCATGTGCCTGTTGTAGCCCTTCTCCGCCATGCCCCCAGCGATCTGGCCATAGATGTCAACGTTTCTACGGATGGATCAGAGCTGTGCCTGCACAGCCTCTTCTCCCCACAGACCAAGGAGATCCACCACCTGCTGTGTACTCCTGGCAAGAGCACCTTTGCTGCGTGGCGCCAGCATGGTCAGCTGGGCAGTTGCTATGTGAGCTCTCCATACCAACCAAACATGAAATAGAATTTAAAATTGGCAGGGCTTTAAAGGGGGAGGGGCATGTACATGCATACCTGACTGCCAGGCAGAGGAGTTCTAAAAGGTGACCAGAGCAGTTATGCTGGGGCATCGTGGGACACCTCCTGGAAGCCACTAAAGTAGACATAAGTAATACAGTGTCACTGATATTGTGTCAACCAAACTATGTTGACCTAAGCACTATGCCTCTCGTGGAGGTGGAGTTACTAAGTCGGCGGAGAGGGCGAGTTACATCGGCGGGAGCAACATTTTAGTGTAGACGCTTACAGAATTAGGTCAACGTAAGCTGCCTTGCAAACAAACAAACTCTGTAGTGTAGACCAGGCCTCAGAGCTGGGACACCAGAACCCCTGGTGCAGGTGGGGATGAGTTCAAACAGTTGCAGCAAACTGGACATCCACTGAAGAATAGGTCTCATTGCCTCTTGAATGAAGTCTATGTCTCGCCTATGGATGCAAAAATATTTCTGCATTAAGACAAAGTTCAGGATCTATCAAACCTGTGTACTGCCTGCACTGCTATATGGGTCAGAAACCTGGACCCTCCTACAAGCAGACTTGGAGCAGCTAGAGGCATTCTATATGTGCTGTCAGCATCAAATGCTGGGCATAAAATGGTTCAACTTTGAGCAAGATTTGGCCTTCCTCCAATTGCTTGCTCTTTGGCCATGTTGCCAAGATGGCCAAAAACATCCCAGCTCATTGTGCTCTCAAACTCTCCACTGATGTAACTTGACCCTACCTGGCATCGCTTGCGGGACTGCCCAGAGATTCGTGAATTTTCAGAATTGAGCTAGATCTGGGAACTTCACTCTACAATATCTGGTACGATGCCATCATCCAAAACTTCCTAACTGTCAGAGTGATTAAGCACTGGAATAAATTGCCTAGAGAGGCTGTGGTATCTCCATCCTTGGGGATTTGTAAGAGCAGGTTGGACAAACACCTGTCAGGGATGGTCTAGATAATACTTAGTCCTGCCTTGAGTGCAGGGATTGGACTACATGACCTCTCAAGGTCCCTTCCAGTTCTATGGTCACTCCAGCTGTGCAATGGCCCTCAGTATATTGTGCACATTTGATGATGGTGATGATGAATTTATAAAACACCGCAGGGAAAACTGTGCATGTCTGAAATTTGTTACCAACTCACTGGTCCTGTTTTTCAGTACATTCCTAGGCAAATATGAACATGAATATATTGCATGCACACCCCCACTTTCTGCATGCACACAGCAAGATAGGCAGCTAGCCTACTGTGTGTGTCAAACCCAATTTGGGTGGCCTCTGTCATGCAGACCTTCATCATTCACTAGTGCAACATGGGGCTATAGTACCTTAAATACATTTGGAAACTAAAGTTGCTGCAGAATAAATAGGGTAACTTGCCAGGAGCTCCTTCCACCAGTGTTCTGTGATCTGCACCAGCTGCTTATTGGTGGCTGGGTGGAGTTTCAGGTGTCTGTTTTGGCCTATAAAGCTCTAGATGGCCTAAGGCTTGCCTGCCTGCCTGAGATGCCTTTGCCCTTGTGAGCTGCTGACACAAGATCAATGAAAGTGCTCAAAGTACAGCCTCCTTGGTTTACCAGAGAGGATGCTGCTGGTAGAACAGGGCCCTCAACTTAGAAATTCATTCCCTCGACTGAAACTGACTGAATATGCTCACCATTAGTGCATGGTGAAAAGCATTTGGAGAATGCTGAGTTTGTAAAGCAGTTGTAGTGTTAGGGGCTCTGCAGGATCCAAGGACAGAGGAGTTCATTTCATGCTGATGTCTGGTTTTGTACACAACAAGGCAGTTGGTCTGACTAATGCTGTTTTTGTCTCAGTTTAGTGGAGTTTTACACATCCCAGCATGAAGCATCTTTAATTATTATTTTAGTTTGGTTTCAACATATAAACATTATTTGCACATCCAAGCCTGCTGAAAATCAAGCCCTTATACTTCCCAATGCACAGAGGGTATTATTAAACTTTTGCATTTTACAAACACATCTGTGCCATTGCCCAGAAGCTATCCAGTCAACTCCTCAGGATCATGAGGTAAGATCTGGCCCTTCCTGTACTGAAGAGGTGTTAATACTCACTGTGCAAAGCAAGTCTGGTTTTATTCATGGCATCTAGCTCCTTTACGAAGTTAAATATTTTTGTTCCCATTTCCTCACAGGAGCTTTCTCTGAGCCAGACTGAGGAAAGCCTCAGCCTTGCTTGAAGTCAGGCTTTTCTGTGTAGTGCTGACCAGGCAGCTTGCATGAAGGTAAACCAGTGTGTGTCCAAATTAAAAGAAAAAGCAGGGACCTAATTTTTGGCTTGTGCCTACTTCTGCTGCGGATTTCCAAGGAGTAATGGGTTTAAAGGACACAGCAAGCTACACTACTGTTAGTTATTACTTATTGATCAAACAACAAGGGCAAGAGCTTTCTAAACTCTATCCAGGCAAGTGCACCAAAAAGGCATAAACTAGTACGAGTCCACTGGAGCAAATGGAGCTGCACCTGCTCTTCCAGCAACAAATTCAGCTGACCTCGTGCACATGACTGGCACACCAGATGAAGACTTATTTCTTATATCCCCTCACCTCAGACATTTCTGACTTCCCCAGGCTTCTGAGCTTTATTTACAGAAAGATGACTAATCTACAAAACATAAAGGGTGTTTTTATAAATTAAATTGTTAAGAAAACCGCTGAGAAAACTGCACCTACCTATGGGAATCTCAGGGATTTTATTCAAATAAAAGGAATAGGAGGTCATACAAGCAATGTTTCATTAAATGCTACATCAAAACATCTACCTACAGCAATTATTGATACAGGGCTTAATGTTCAAAGATGCAGTGCACTTGCAGCTCACAACGTCTTCACCTGGATGAGTAAGTACTCAGCATCTCTGAAAATCAGGCCTACAATATCATCTATTACAACAACTGCCTACAGCTTAATGCTGGTCATGTAAGGATACTTTTCGATGAAATGACAAACCAGCATGGATTAAGGTTAAATAAATGAGAAGTGAAAATCTTGTTTCATACTTGCGTGATATCAGAGTGCTCTGGGATTTCTAGTAATTCGATCTGTTCTTGCACTTGTACAATAGAGGACTCTTTAATGTCTTCAGTAGCACAACAGTGAGTGGTACAGGAATCACCTGGAGATGGAGGACACAATAAGAAAAAGACACAAACCATACTATTCTTCTAGATAAGGCAATAAATCCATCACGGGGGTTTGCACACCCCTCAGTACTGCTTGTCATCATGTGAGACAGATGATCACCTGTCTCTACAGACTTAAACTTATGAGGCAGGTCTGCCTTGTAGGAGCTGGAAGAATAACTGAAAACAAAAAGTTCTGGAAAAGTTTTCATGACTGTCCTTCTCCTTTATACTCTTTGTGGTAGGTTGAGGCCGCTCTGACACTGTCACAGATCCGCCAGGCAGAAAACCACCACAATGCACTCTTCCATAATCAGTTCAGCAGAAACTGGTCACTGAGCATCCATGTTTGTGGACACTGACCAAAGATTTGGTCAGGCAGAAAAGCTTAAAAGTATGTGCTGTATATCTCAGTACCCCAAACAGAGAGGAAAGCCTCCTCAATTATATGAAGCCTCTCTGGTCTTTATCAGTTGAAGACAATAAACGTTCTTGTCTATTGTCATTGTCCTTCAACAAACTCAGCTCTGTGCACTTGCTGTAACAGGAAAAATTAGCATGTTCAAGTGGCCATTTAAGTGGTCACAGGGGTTTTACTTTTGTCCTGTTCCCCATCTACTGGTCACGGAATTTTTATCTACCATGTGGGATGCCAAGAAGGAAAAAAAGAGAAGAGGGGAGTTTGCCTATGCTTAGGTTTAAATGTGACCTGTCCCCTTTCAAAGCAGTTGAGGTTGTATTCTTCCACTGCTGTGCTATAACCCTACCTGCAACTGTAGGTGCGGACTCTGGTAATTTCTTTCAAACAACACTGGTTTACTTCTTCCACCACCTCTGCAAAAAGTTCAGCCACTGACTGGTAATGCCCAATAGGCAAAATCAGGACATGATCCGTTGATAAGCCACCCTTAGCCAGAGCAAGACAGCACTAAAACATAACAAGAGGTCAGAAAATATATAAGTTTGCTGTGAATAGCTGCTAACTCAGACCTTGCCATTATAATGCCCTCCTGAACACAAAATACATTGAGTGACTTTCATGGCTAACCAGGCCCACTATTGCAAGATTCAAAATACAAAAGCCACAAAACCTCCTATGCCCTACCTGAGAGGAGATTTTGTAGCAGTCTGACAATTTTCAGACGACTTAGAAAAGGGTAAGGAACTCCAAAAAATTACTTTGAATGCAGGTGAGTTGGGCTTCAGCCAGTGTGGCAATGAATGGGATTTATGGATAGGATGCAGACAAAGAAAATCCACTTGGGAATTTATGGTTGGATATAAAGTAAACAATGAATTAATTTGATCCTATGATAGTTCATATTCAGCTCAAAATTTGGATTATATTCCACAGCAGCAGTAGTTTTAGGCAAGTGGAATAGACTCCTACCAACACTGTTTAACTCACAGTAGGTCACCGAATCAGGGCTGAGGTGTTCTTACACAAGGGTCTCTATCTAGATAGAAAGTTATTTAAAAAAAAAAAAAAAAAAAACACGAGACCACTCCAGACTATAAACTACAATGTTTAATCCTTAAGAAATGCATATGATTCTCATGATTTCAGTTGAGGTTCCACTCAACAGGTTCCTAGCTCAGGACTGAGAGTCTCAAAGCCTTGTGACAAAGTGGTAATTTTCTGTAATATTTCTGTTAATCCTATATGTGCCTCATTTTCCCACATACTTTGCACATACCCAGCGGGGGAGCAGTGGGGGGGAATTAAGGGCTAGTCTACACTGGCAGTGCTTTAACATGCCTTGTGTGGTCGCAGCGCAGTGCTGGGAGAGAGCTCTCCCAGAGCTCTAAAAAAACCCCACCTCAATGAGGGGCATAGCTCCCAGCACTGGGGCACTGTTTACACTGGCGCTTTACAGCGGGGGATGTTTTTTCACACCCCTGAGTGAGACAGTTGCAGCGCTGTTAATTGCCAGTGTAGACAAGCCCTCAGTTTGCTCTCAGGACAGATTAAGAGACATCAAGGCTTGTGTGTCACTTTGCTGTCTGAGCAGGTCATTAAAAAGACTGGCCAAAGCTGATCCATATGAATGGAAATTCCGAGAAGATAATAGAAAGCCCAATCATTGACATCTAGCAACCAATGATTCAAAGGGAGGAGGATTTCCCCACCTCACAACAGCGACATTGTAGAGTGTTGGAAAGGTAGATTTGTCCTGGCTGGTTAAGACATTAAAGAAAGAGAGAGATGGAAGGGAGGAATAAGATGGGGTGAAAATCGATGCACTAGGAAAGAAAAATAGCAAGAACCTCAGGTTTATACTGCAGTTGCTCAAGACAGTCATGAGATGGTGAAGGTGTTTGGTTCCCTTTTTTCACAGCATCTTTCAGAACTAGGAAAAAAGGCCACTGAGTCCCATGTTTCTCCTTCCCATTTATTTAAAAATTATGTTCATTTACTACAAGAAAAATAAAAAACTGGAAGATATTAAAACACACCCCAAGAGATGCAAAAACATAACATCTCATTTAAAAAAAAACAAAACACAGTAAAAGGTACAACGTGACAACACTGTACACACCTGTTACATCACTTACTACACCAAAGCCCTTCAAAACAATATTTACTAGTCTAGAGATTATCCAATCTTACGCTGCCCACTTGAGAGTAATGTGTTTATTAAATATGATAAATATCTATTTCGACATATCACAACTACCTTGGCTCCAATGCAATAATCAATATTCTTTCATCACGAGTCTCAAAATATAAACATGTCTGAAAAACAAAGGCATCAGTAACACATTAATCAGTCTCAAATGCAAGTCCACATACATTCTTCATTTTATTGTAAGTCAATACTGTTTTATTACTTATTTGTAATTTTGTAGCACCTAGGAGCCCCTGTCATGGACCAGGGCCTTATTGGGCTAGGCCCTGTACAAACACAGAACACACTTTTCCTATTAAGCTACATACATCATTCTCATGAAACAAAAATTAGAAACACTTCACCCAAAAATACTGATGCCAATTGATAAAGAAAACAAGTTTTCTCATTTAATGGAATCTGAAGAAAGTACTTATCAAAATATTTTTAAAATGCATTAATCAAACAAGCCAGACTTCAAGTTGATGTGTTATAATGAAACATGCATTTCTTTGTATTTGAAAATAATATTTATTTTCTCATATATGTAGGAGCAAGATTTACAATATTTTGCAGCTATTAATTTCTTCATTCTTAAGTGCTTGGGGTTCTAAATGAAGTGACAGGTAACATTTGTCATTTAACTCACTTTTAAAAAACAAATATAACTTACAAAATGTTTACAAATAAAGACACCCTTCCTTTCACCTACTTTAACTCAGAGACTCAAGAACTCACAAATGGCTGGGTTTTATGAAAAATAGTTACCTTTGTATGAATTGTCACTCAGAAACCAAAAATCAATTTTGGTAAAATAATCCAAGTTCTACATTTTGATTAATGTAGAATGAGCCTGGAGGCCAAAGGCCAGAACTCCTGGGTTCTATTTCTGGCTCTGCCACGAACTAAGGCCTGGTCTACACTTAAAATTAAGGCTGTGAAAAATCCACACCCCTGAATGCCATAGCTACGCCAACCTAAACCCCAGTGAAGATGCACATATTGTCGCTTGGGGAGGTGGTATTCTTATGACAACAGAAAAACCCCTTTCATCAGTGTAGGCTGCGTCTATGCTATGGGATTATGCCAGCATAGTTACAGCGCCACAGCTACGTCCATGCAGTCTCCATAGTTTAAACATACTCTCAGTGAGTGACCTTGAGCAAGTCACTGCATCTCTTTGCTTCAGTTTCCCACCTGCAAATATGAGGATAAGCCATATCTGCAGTACCAACTTTAAAGAGGTTGTGAGTCTTAATATTTGTTCAATGTTTTAAAGATGGAAAGCACTATGCACATGTTAAGCATTGTGCTTCTAATTCACATTACATTTAGAGAAGTCTAATAAAATAAGCATTTGGCTTAATTTAACATTGTAGACCAGGAATGTTTTATAATAATAATAATAATAATATATGGAGATATACCTATCTCATAGAACTGGAAGGGACCCTAAAAGGTCATTGAGTCCAGCCCCCCCGCCTTCACTAACAGAACCAAGTATGGACTTTGCCCCCAATCCCTAAGTTGCCCCCCTCAAGGACTGAACTCACAACCCTGGGTTTAGCAGGCCAATGCTCAAACCACTGAGCTATCCCACCCCCTTGCCAATGGGAGACATTATACAGTCACACCCTTCTAATCTAATACATCATGATGCAGAAGCAGAAATATAAAACTTACATCGAATTCTCCACTTTTCTTCTGAACAGCTTACACTATGTTGAACAACATTAATTTTTTCTTCAACACCCCCAAAGGCCAGTCTAGGAGAGAAATAAAGTAGAAATAAGGACAAGATGACCCCATAATGAGTTTGTGTATCTATAATTTTTGAATTGATATTAAAAATTGTGACCCCCATCTTCCTTACAACCAAGGATTCACACACTCAATTCACCCAAGTGGCTGAGGAAAATCCTGCCCAAAATGTCACTACTGTCTAAATGCTGATTAACACAAACAGATGCACTTTCCCAGAACAGGAGTCCTAAGAGTCACCAGGAGACAGACTGCCTGAAACCTCTGAGGATCAAGAAAAAACAAGTGCTGCCTCATGTAATGCACATCTCCCCAAAATAGACACAATTTTTCTACAACCATGTCAACTTTATTACACAATATCATGTAATTAAAACTTATATTGAAATGCACACACACAAGGGGCAGAGTTAGGATTGTATGAGGAGCCTAGATAACTAGCCTATCTTGAATTTTAGGTGTTTAAACCATAGAATATTAATGTTCTCTTTACAATTTTTTTCTGAAACATTTTTGGTTTTAAATAAACAGAAAAAGCGTTTGATGACACTGGACGCCCCTCCATTTGGGCTACAAGATAGGGAGCCCGTTAGCTCAGTCCTTACACACCTTCAGGCTTAGTGATGATTAAATGGTGATTAAAACCACACAAAAAAAGTTGCTATACTGCGCCTGCACAGTGCAATTTTCTGTTAAGAGGTATTAAAAAACAAAACATCGCAAAAGCGTTTTATTTACCGAAATCAGACTGGAAATACTTAGGCAACTTTTGAACGGTGTCATTACTTTTCCAGTTATCCTAGGTGGCAGCAATTATAGCAAGGTTGAAATTGCAACACAGTTTCCATTATGAAGCCTGTTTTCCAACAACTTCCTCCTGAAGACCTCTCCTTTGGCACGGAGAGTCTCCCTGCCGGCCCGGCTATCGTAGCTACAAGAAAACGGGGGAAAGCGCCAGAGCGTATCAGGACTGGACCGCGCGGCTCGGGAGCAGCCAGCACAACCGGCCCAGCGCGCCCCCCGGCCGCAGCCCCCGGCGCTGGCAGCGCGGCCCTGGCGGGGGTTGGAACGGCTCGATCGGGGTCCCGCCCGGCGCAAGGCTGAAAGCAGCGGGCGCTCAGATCGAAATACCCGCAGCCCCGCCCACTGCTGAGCCCGGCCGGTCCCCGCCGAGTCCGGCTCCGCCCGCACCCCCCGTAGCCCGGGGCCTAGCGCGGACATACCAGAACCGGCCCTCGGCGCGCAGCACGATGGCAGGGCAGCGACACGGCCCCCCCTCACCCGGAACCAACAACCCTGACCACCCTGTGCATCACTCAAACCCTTCCCCTGAATCAATAGCTCGGCTTGCTGTGTGCGTCAGCTGATCCCTTCCCCTCCGGAACACACAGCCCTGATCGCTGTGTGCGACACCCAAACCCTTCCCCCTGGAACCAACTCCAAAACACCAGCCCACTCACCTCTGGCCAGGGATAGTCAGTCAATTATTTTTGGTCAAGGTCCAGCCGCCAGAGAAAATAATTAAAAAAAATCTGATAATAATTAGTAAATAAAAAGATTTCAAGGTCCTTTTAAAAGCATCTGGAGGTGCAGATTTGGCCTGTGGTCCTCCTATTGGCTACCCCCTGCCTCAGGCATTACTGTACTAAAACCTTCCCCCCCACATCCTCTGGAATCAACATCCTCTCTGACAGTGTGCATCAGCCCAACCCTTCCCTACAGCCACACTCACCATATATGTCAACCGCAACATTCCTCTGGCACTAAATTCACTGCTCCATAGGAGCGTGACACAAATTGTTCATGAGTGTGTGTATGTGTGCGTGTGTCGCTGACACTGTTTCCCCCAGAGCTAGCTGTGACAGATAGGGTTGCCAACTTCTAATCACACAAAACCGAACAGCTCTGCCTCGCCCCTTCTCCGAGACTTGCCTCCCACTCGCTCCACTCCCCTCCCCTCCCTCCGTTGCTCACTCTTCCCTACTCTCACTCACTTTCATTGGGCTGGGGCAGGAGGTTGGGGTGCAGGGTTGGGTGGCCAAGCGGTGCTGCGCAGTTCGCGCTGCCTTCGCAGGCGCCACCCCCTGCAGCTCCCAGTGGTCGTGGTTCCCTGCCAATGGGAGCTGCAGAGTTGGAGCTGGGGGCAGGGGCAGCGTGCGGAGCATCCCAGTCCCTGACCACCCCAGCGCCTAGGGGCCGCAGGGACCTGGCGGTCACTTCTGTGGGCAACGCATAGCCAGGGCAGGCAGGGAGCCTGCCTTAGCCCCAGGCCCCCACTGCGCTGCTCACTGGACTTTTAACGGCCCAGTCGGCAGCGCCAACCAGAGCTGCCAGGGTTCCTTTTCGATCGGGCATTCCAGTCGAAAGCCGGATATCTGGCAACCCTGGACAGATACTGCAGCCACATACAGTATCTCTGGGGACTAGATTGTATTTTACATTGACAGCATAGGAAAAAAACCAAAAAGCCATTCTATGACGATAGGCCAGACAGTATGAGCTGTGGAATATCCATAGCTCTTTTATTTGGGCATAAGCTTTCGTGGGTAAAAAACCTCACTTCTTCAGTTGCATCTGAAGAAGTGAGGTTTTTTACCCATGAAAGCTTATGCCCAAATAAATCTGTTAGTCTTTAAGGTGCCACTGGACTCCTTGTTGTTTTTGTGGATACAGACTAACACGGCTACCCCCGATACATAGCTCTTTGTATCACATGGGTGCAATTAATGCAAAACCCCAAGGTTGGCTTTGAAGCTTGACCTCTTGGATAATAGGCAGCAGGAAGGTTTTTCCTGTTTTCAGGAGGCAGGGAGACAAAACAAGGCATTTGGTATAAAAGGCTGGGTTTAAGTAGACTCAGGGTCATCTTTTAGATTTGGCAAACAGAACTTTTGGCCTTGGGGCCCCACTCCTCGCTGAAGGTTTGGAAGGCTTACCAATGGCCCACATGGAAAATGGACTATTTCTGGTATGTATAGGAAGGAGTACTGTGAAAAGGGATCTGGGGGTCATAGTGGACCACAAGTTAAATATGAGTCAAAAGTGTAACACTGTTGCAAAAAAGTAAGCAAGTAAGCAAGACACGAGAAGTAACTCTTCCGCTCTACTCCGCCCTGATTAGGGATCAACTGGAATATTGTGTCCAGTTCTGGGCGCCACATTTCAGGAAGGATGTGGACAAACTGGAGAGAATCCAGAGAAGAGCAACAAAAATGATTAAAGGTCTAGAAAATATGACCTATGAGGGAAAGTTGAAAAAATTGGGTTTGTTTAGTCTGGAAAAGAGAAGACTAAGGGGGGGACATGATAACAGTTTTCAAGTACGTAAAAGGCTGTTACAAGGAGGAGAGAGAAAAGTTGTTTTTCTTAACCTCTGAGGATAGGACAAGAAGCAATGGGCTTAAATTGCAGCAATGGAGGTTAAGGTTGGACATTAGGAAAAACTTCCTGTCAGGGTGGTTAAGCACTGGAATAAATTGCCAAGGGAGGTTGTGGAACCTCCATCATTGGAGATTTTTAAGGGCAGGTTAGACAAACCCCTGTTAGGGATGGTCTAGATAATACTTAGTCCTGCCATGAGTGCAGGAGACTGGACTAGATGATCTCTCAAGGTCCTTTCCAGTCCTATGATTCTATGATTCTCTGGCCACAGACCTGCAAGCTAAGGTCCTCTAAAATCCCCTGATCCCTCCCATCACCCTGAACCCCCAAAATCAGAGAAATAGGGCAATAGAACACCCAGAAGCACACAAGTCCCAAAGGAAACCAACACTGCACCCATGCTAATTGGTTTCCAGCAAGCAATAAGGCAGCTATGTTTTCTCAGGCTGATCCCTTTATACCTTGCAGGCAGGTGGGATTGGACAGACCTCCACATTACAATTTCTGCAGAGCCAGGTGAAAACCCATAGCCCCTCCCCCTCCATTAGCACCCACCCAAGGTCTTCAGCTGCGGCTTTCAGATTCATCACAACTTCCCCCAGAGACAGGAGGCCTTTGGGAAAATGGAAAGAACCTCACTTAGATGGCAAATTTGGCTGCTGTTTCTGCAGAGATTTATTGGCATGCTTTCTTTTCTCACTTATTTCCCTCTTGAGCCTGACTGAGTTTAAATTTTGTCCTTCCCTAAGTCCCAACCCCCCTTGTGCAAGGTGCGTGGCTCGGCCCCAAAGAGATCCCTTTTACCATTTGCTAGCAGGCTCCTGTGTTGTTATTAGGCCCCAATCCTATAAGCTACTTTGTGTAAGTGGAGGCCAGTGCTCACGCAGCGCTCCATTGAACTGAATAGCACAAACATTTAAAGAGATTTGTATTAAAGGTGTAAAATCCATAGGAAAACCAGAGAAATGTGGGTATGTCCAAAGTGAGACCTGTGGAGTCAGAAATCACTTGTTGTTGGAGTCTATTTATCTAGGAGGGCTGTGCTGCAAAAAGCGCTGGAAAGTGGCACAGAGTACATCAGACTGCCCAAGATGTAGAAAGAGAGCAGCTAGGGGAATGAACTCCATGGAACAGTCCTCACCGGTGAATGTACTTTTAGTTTGCATTGTTTGTGTGGTAGGGAAATTTTCTAAACTTCTCAGTAATTAAGACTACGGTGCCACTGCTGCAGTTACAGCTCAAATCCTCCAGATGTCGCATGTGCATCAGGTCCAATTCCAATGTGCAGGAATCATCTAAATCAGGGGTAGGCAACCTATGGCACGCGTGCCGAAGGCGGCAAGCGAGCTGATTTTCAGTGGCACTCACACTGCCCAGGTCCCGGCCACCGGTCCGAGGGGCTCTGCATTTTAATTTAATTTTAAATGAAGTTTCTTAAACATTTTAAAAACCTTATTTACTTTACATACAACAATAGTTTAGTTATATATTATAGACTTATAGAAAGAGCCCTTCTAAAAACGTTAAAATGTATTACTGGCATGCGAAACCTTAGATTAGAGTGAATAAATGAAGACTCGGCACACCACTTCTGAAAGGTTGCGGATCCCTGATCTAAATTAAGAGGCTGGTGAGATGTATTAATTAGTCCCTCAGGCTCTCCTATGGACTAGCACAGAATTGTTTCCTACCGTACATGCTTTAGAGGAACTTCTTTCAATGGCAAATTGATGACAGCATCCCTCTGGGAAATGATTTATGTCCTGCCTCCATTCCCAGTGCACTATCCATGGTAAAGTTTACAGAGTCTGCCATACTGTATGAACCTTCCAGAGCAGCTTGTGAGAATCTTCCCATACTTGTCATCATTTTAGTAACACAGAGCCAGCAGCTTGATGCCAGCCTGGGTGTCAAGTCATTCGGCGTGACATTCAGAGCTTGGCAGGATTTAGATAAAAGGACTAGACATTAATATGGCTAAAGAGAGCGGCCAAAGTTACACTGGAAAGGATAAAAATATTATAAGGGATCTCAGGCCTCAGGGCATCAACCACTATCTGATGAACATTAGGAAGAAACTTCCCCCGTTGGCAAGTTATTTCCAAGTGCAAGTCTGCTACTGGGTTACTTGCACCTTCCTTTGAAGTATTAGGTACTAACTAGTGTTGAAGACAAGATACTGGACTGAACAGATCACGTATCTGATGCAAAAAGGCAATTTCTGTATTTCTATGTTGCATGATCGTGCCATGACATGCTGTCATAAATGATGATGGGGACAGATCAAGGCCCAAACACCCTGACCCAGATCCTCAAAGGTATTTAGGTGCCTAACTCCCATAAACAGGGCCCTACCAAATTCATGGCCATGAAAAATGCATCACGGACCATGAAACCTGGTCTCCCCCTGGTGAAATCTGGTCTTTTGTGTGCTTTTACCCTATACTATACAGATTTAATGTGGAAGACCAGAGTTTCTCAAGTTGGTGGTCTTGACCCAAAAGGGAGTTGCAGGGGGGGTCGCAAGGTTATTTAGGGGGGTCGCGGTATTGCCACCCTTACTTCTGTGCTGCTGCAGATGATGATGCTGCCCTCAGAGCTGGGCGGACAGAGAGCAGTGGCTGTTGGCCAGTTGCCCAGCTCTGAAGCGGTAGCGTAGCTGGGCGGGAGCGGGGGAGCGGCCACTCCCCCACTGAGCACAAGTGGCACCTTGTCAATTTCTTGGCGCCTTTTTACTCACCCCGGGGAGCGATAAAAAAAAAAGGCACCACCCACTGCGGCGCTTTTATTTTACTCACCCGGCGGCGCTCTGGGTCTTCGGCAGCGGGACCTTCACTCGCTCCGGGTCTTCGGCGGCATTTTGGCGGCAGGACCTTCAGTGCCGCCGAAGACACCCGGAGTGAGTGAAGGGCCC